TGCGAGACCTTGGTCATCACCACATGTGCATCTTGGATAAAGGAATAAAAGAGAAATAAAACTTGACTTCTGGGTCACCGGCTACAAGTTGGAGAGAGAAGAAAGCTGAAGTTTTGACCAATAAACTCGAACAACAGCAACATAGAACTATAAAAGTTCTTGAAATATGAGATGTTTCTTCCTGCACATGGAGTAGAAGTTCTTGAAAGTTAATAAAAATTGATGCTCGGGATTATAGGTTTGACAATAATATTATTTTATTAGCTTTCCATATATTTACTTCTCCCGTTCTGAAGTATAAGTTAAAAAAAAGCTTGAATCATATGTACTAGTTAACATAATTTAATTTTACTAATTTTAATTAAAATATTTTTTATTTCACGATATTTCACACAATTTTTCTCGATAAAATTTTCACTTATCATAACTCTTTGTGAGTAGTCCTCTCTTGAAGTCTGTCCATTTTTTCACGAACTAATATAAGACTTTTTAATGTATTTTATTTTCACTCGTACATTTTCTGGAAAATTTTTTAGAATGTCACTCATCTCTAAATTACTCTAAGTAAAATATGTTTAACTGCAAAATTTTTATATGATGAATTATCAAAAAGTTGATATATTTTGTTAATATAGACAATACAAACTAATTTCTTTAAGTACAAATTTTTGAATCTCTAATGTGTTCGAATGGTTACACAATTTAATATCAAGAATAAAAAAAGAATTAAAAATAAAATTTTATTAAGTAACATATATTTTTAAAGTGATATCATAAATAATATATTAAAATTTGTTTATACTATTTTAATCCAATCCTATAGAACACATATCAAATTTTGTTCTTCATATTTTAGTTTATAGGGACCATTTCCTTTATTAATAAGTACTATCGTGTGAGAAAAAATGTGTAATTTTTTTCAATATAATAGTAATTACTACTTTTATTTGTTCTTAATAATATTTTTAAAATATTATTGCAATGCATCGTTTTTAGTAAAAAAAATATTAATTAAGGTTAATTTCATAAAATTGCTACACTCCTTCATTTATTTATTATATTTTATTAGTTTGTGTAAAAAAAATGGAATGATGTTAATTATGTAACAAATAAAGTATTATTGTAAATCAAGTTAATTTTTTCAAAAAATATCCCGTCCAAAAATTTTAGTCTTTTAAGATTAATGTATATGAATTAAGAAATATTTAATAAATATAATTTGACAAAAGAAAAACTTTTATTTAACATCTTATTATCAAAATCATTATCTCATTTTTTTAAAAATAAAAAATAATAAAAACAAGTGAACAATTGATGGAATAAATGGCTATCATAAATGAAAAAAAGAAAACACCCCTTCTAGATTTTTGTTATAAGACCCAGATCGAATGTGTTGCTTTGATAAAAAAAAAAAAAAAATATATA